GCTCTCTCCATGGCAGGACGAGGTGACCGGGACTCATGTGGGCAGGAGCTGGCTCTGTGGCACGCACACCGTCAGCACTGGTGTTTTCCCTCCAGCACCTGGACACTGGCTCCGTCCCATCCCTGCATCCACGGCAGCTCTGGGAGGATGCGGGCGGTGGAAGAACACCCCCATCCCCGGGTCAGGCACAACGGGAGCTGGGGCAACGCTGGGCCCAGCTGGGGTTCCCATCATGGAAGGGATGGGATGGGGAAGGGGCTGTGGTCAGAATCCATTCCCCACCAGCAGCTGCCACCGTTTCCATGGCGACCCAGCCCATCACGTGCGCCCATCCCACGATCGATATTTGCTTTGCCTGCAGTGAAAGCGGCCATAATTACTGCGCCAGGCAGCTAATTAGCAATTCATTACTTGTCCGAGAGGGCCCGGCGACGGTGTATGTGTCTCTCCGTGCCTTTTACAGGCACCGTTGCCCGGTTTTCCTGCCCCTGTGTTTGGTTTCCACGGGAAGGAGAAGAGCGCAGCAGTGGCCGCCCACAGCATCACCGTGTTCCCACGAAGCTCCCGTCGGTGCACCGAGGGGGCCCGGCCCCGGGAGCTGCCACGGCTACGGAGATTGGGCTCCAGCCACCACCACCCTCATCCAGAAACTCAACAAGAACAGCAGACGTGGTTGGAAGATATTCGGGAACAGGAGAGACCCAGGGAATGCCCTGAACCGCACCAGGAACAATTAACACGCTCGTTAACACGCAGCTCCATGCACGCAGCTCATCGTTGCCATCACTTCCACACCAGGGGAGCAGCAGCCATCACAAATCCCATTACACTTTCAAGGAACCGCAATCCCTTTCAGCTGCCCTGGGCCCACAGGACCCCGTGCTGTGACCGCGGCAGCTGGTTTGTACCCAGGGCCTGTGGCCCTGCTGGTCACGCTCAGCACAGAGGGACCAGCAACGAGCAGAACCCCAGCAGCGGCAGCTCAGGACATCGACCCTGCCCGTCCCTGCACACATGGGGTGCCCACACCTGTGCTTCCAGCACAGCCCTCCTGGTGCAGCACCACGGTGTGTGCCCAGGGCACTGGGGGAGCACACCCCATCCTGCCCTGCCCAGGGCCTGCCCTGCTCCTCTCCCTATCCCCAGGAGGCTCCCACTGCTGCCCCAGGGAATGACCTGGCTGCCCTGGGGTGCCCAGGCCCCAAGCAGGGAACACTCACTTTTGGAAAGGAGTCTAAACCAAGAGTGGAAACCAAACCTCAGACACAAAGCCCTGCTCCTGGGGAGCCCAGCAGCACCCACCAGAGCAGGGTCCTGCACCAGGCATCCCAGGAACCCAAACAACCCTGCTCAAACAGGAACCACACTGGGGTAGGAAACTGCATCCAGGCAGAAAGCTTCGACACATCTAAAGCACAACTAGAGAGAGTATTACGTGTTGGACTGAAAGGGGTTATTTCATGGGTATTAGCTAGAATACACGGAAAGTTTAGGAATGTGAAGTAAAAAGGGCTGAGCATGACACAGGCAGAGCATGGGTTAGGCCTTACCCCCCACACCCCCCACCACCAGGGACCATCGCTCTGCAGCCCGGGGGTGTGGAAGAGTCACAGCCACAAATGAGGTGGCTGGGGCCACATCAGGAGGAGGAATCAGAAGCAAAACAGGCACAATAAAGATAGGAAAATCAGAAGCAAAGAATACAGAAGAAATTTATTGAAAGCACAAGTACAGACTGGCCAATAACTGCTTTCTACAATCTGAACAGTAAATAATGGAGCTACAGAAAGGTACAAAGGTTGTTATAAAATAGTTTTAATTTCATTTCTTTTTGCATTACAAACATTCTTTGAAAGAGGCAATGGAATTCGGATGTTGTGTACGCTTACCCTTCCCACCCCACCTTCCACAATACTGAACCTGTAATAGCTGTTATCAAAATATACATCTGTTCACCATTAAAAAACTGGGTTTTGCTGCCCCCTCATGTCTCACAACAGGTATAAAAAAAATCATAAATATGTACACCCTTTTGTTACTCACATTCTTTACATGCAAACACAGGGATCCAAAGGAAAAGCCCACAGCTACCAGGGTCACCTCGACGCGTCTGCTGCCCGCGGTGGCCAAGGGGACGGTCAAGGCCACGGCCACGACTCGAGGTCACCGATTGAAGGTTAAAGCGGAGCCGCTCCGGGGGCTTGGGGAGCAGAGCTGCCCCTTGCGAGGAAGGCAACGAATTGGCCCCGCAACACCCAAACGCGTCCCTCTGACGGGGAGAGGGTGGCAATGGAGCGTGGAGCAACTCTGATCAACAAGGGGGTACGGGAAGGGGCTCCATGGCCAGGGAGAGACGGCGCTCCCAGCCAAACCTGCTCAGCTCCAGGGGGCAGTGCTCTCCCCGAGGTGGTACAGCCCCAAAAAGCAGCCCAGCCCCTCTCCTAAATTCACACCTGGGTCAGTGGGAGCTACCAAAGTTAAGACTTATCCAGCACTGGGTGCCAGGCAAGTCAAGAGCTCCCACACCACGCAAGGACATCCCAACTTGCAACACTAAGACAATTAAAAAACAAACTTTGGTCCACAATTTGCAGAAAAACCCTGAAAAAAAGTACAAGATTCTGGTTATTTTGCATCCGAACAGGTTGCAGGTTAGAGGGAAATGTAAGGCAACATCGGGTCACACGAAACAGAAGGCAGAATGGCCCAGGAAAGAGTTGTAAGCCAGAAATAAAATAAGATTACACAGTTGGATCATTGGGAAGAAACCGATCTGCTGCGTTCTACTTTAATTAATTCCCTTCCTATAACTTAAAAAGATCTGGGCTTATAGGTTAAAATGGTAAAAACTTCAGCCTGGGTCCTTTTACTTCAATCCACAAGCTGTTTGTGCTCACTATCTCAAAGGCTTTGCTTTAAAAATCAGCTTTGCTTGATGTGTTTTACGGATTCTGTTACATTTCCCACCTCAGTCATGACCTCAGCCTGTAACTAAATTCCTGCCCTACAGTTTAAATTACAAAAAAAAAAAAGAAAGTACAGTATACAAGGGTAATACCACAAAGGAGTAAATTTAGATTACGTTTATACCATCTTATCATTCTATAAAAAGGTACTTAAACTATTTCTTTTGCATATAAAGAGATTAGAATATTTGGTCAACTGGAAATATTGCTAGGCACAGATGACAGCAACGGCATCAGAAAGTATAATACAAGAATTAAAACAAAGCTCAAACGCTGAAGACACGCTATAAGAATGACGGCAGAGCTACATTGGTCTCCTTAAATCTCAGTCAGGGGCACAAAGGTGACCACAAACACCTCGCTAAATGTGGGGTATCCAATAATTCTTCAAATCCTAGCCAAGTATTTAGATATATATACACACACACACACACGATTTGACAAACTCTTGATTGGTCTCCACACGCACCCAGCAGTGGGTAATTTCGGGTCCTGATCAATGCTCTTGAAGGGTCCACGGGCACTGGAATGTGTTTGGTCTGGGGGACACTCCCCACCAACCCCTCTGCTGGGATGGGCTCCCAAACCGCCCCACAGGAGCTCTGCAACAGCCGCAGCACGGGGACACGCAGCGCCGTGCCATTAGGACACGACGGCCCTGAGCGCCGGAGCCCAGCGTCTCCTCCGTCCCCTCTGCCGCTCCACTGGTCCCTCACTGCCACCAGCGGCCCAGGGCTCGTCCTTCCCTCGCCTCTCCCCTCCGCTCCCCCCTGCAGGTGCTCCCCGAGGAGGTCTAAGGCACAGGACAGCAGAGGCACGCTCAGGGTAGGACCGACACCACCGGTTTTGTGCCAGGCGAGCCGGGAGCTCCCGCACACGCGTGCTCTGCAGAACCCTGCCCCAAAGGCGCTCAAGTGAATTCACACAGTGGTTTTAGGTCTTTCAAGGCATGGATGGGTCAAGAAAATCAAAAAGGCATCAATGTGAAACCTGATAAACTTGGTAGGATCTGCTTTTCGGGGGAGAGGGAGCAGGAGAGGTGGGGAGTTTCCCAGAGCAGGTTCCAAAGTGTAAACTTGTGATTTTTATTCAAACAGTCAAGATTGTTACCCATCACCGCAAGGTTAGCAATATGAATTAGATTTAATTTTCTTTTTTTTTTTTTAAAAACCGGTAAACTGATTTCTCTTTAAAAAAATAAAATCTCTGGTCTTTTAAGGTCACTTCAGCTGCGTTTTTAAAGTGGCTTTTTTCTGGAATGATGGAAGTTGAAACCCTAGCGCTCAGCCTTAAGGCCAAGGCCGAACCCCAGAGGTTTTAAGTCAAGTCCATTTTGTCCCACGCCTTCCCAAGCTCTAAATGGTCGACTTGGAGAAGGAGACGCGCAGGTGGTGATTCTCACCCAGGTCGTGATTGTGGAGGTCGATGAGCAACTGAATGGCTTCTTCCACGGAGCCCATCTGGATCAGCGCCATTTTTCGGTCCTTCCTGACAAGACAAATTCAAGACACGTCAGTGTGACCAGAGAGCGTTTCCCCAATTCGATGCAGGTTTTCTGACCCAGCGCTCAAGGCCAGCAGGAAATCAACCACCCAGGTGACAGCAGTGTCTTGGTTTTTGTATGAGAACATATCCACACGTCCACCTTGGCTTTCTTCACCAACTCCCACTTGCCACGCACTCAGCCCAGGGTCACCCCACAACTCTACACTCCAGAGCCCAACACCACATCAGTGATGACTCTGCTCACCCCTCACTCAGCCCAAGCTGGAATACGATCAGAGCCAAGTGCTCATACACTTCTCATACTGAAAAGCCCAGTGCCAGTACAGAATGGAAGAGAAAACACTTACTGGAAGAATTTGAATCCTTTGACCATCCCTCCATTGCTTGAAAACAGCATCTTAAGGTCTTCTTCGGCTACTGAAGGTCTGAAACAAACGAGTGTTTCCAGTCAAATGTACACCGACAGACTAAATTCATCTCCAAAAACCAATTCTCATCAGAGCCTTTTCTAAACTCTCTACCAGTAACTCCTGGAAAGGCCATGGGAAAACAAGAGGGGGATGGACAGGCTTTCCTTCTGCTACCAGCAAAAACCTGACCTGCTGACTCTCACTCTGCTTCCACAAACACGTTTATACTTGGACATTCAGGAACTCCCCATGTGGACACTTACGGAATATTGGACAGATGAAGAGTGGCAGAAGGGGGAAAGATGTTCTGGAAGTTTTTGGAGCCTGGTTTCTTGAAGCGATGTAGAGGAGAATTTCCATAGTCCTTAGTGAGGCCGTGGTCTTCCTGCGCCTCGCGGGGAAGCTGCACAGTGTGGTGCTTGGACAGCGTGATACGGATTGTCTTCCCGTGGAGCTTCTGGCCGTTCAGATGGCTCATGGCTGCAACGGTCAGAGACAGCGCCGATTACAGCGACACCGCACTGCTTCCTTCAGACATTGCAACCCACGCTGGGATTTCATGCTGGTTCCTCCCCGTGAGACACCGCATCCTCCAGGACCCGCCTGGCAGGCAACAGTGCTCTGGTTTTCCATTTTCCCTCTACATTATCTCACCCAAACACGCTGCACCTTCTCCAGAGCTGCCCCAAATCCATGCTCCATACGCAGGCAAGCGGTTAAGTGCACGGAGACGTGCAGGTTTGGGTCATTTCCAGAGGAGAGAGGACAGCTCTTAAAGCTCTAATAACCCATTAGATCTCATAATGCTAGCAGTCAAGCTTACCAAGCTGGGCCTGGTTTCCATCAGTCATCTGAACCAGGGCATTCTCTTTCTTTTTAAATAAAATCTTCACCCTCTGCACATCACCATAGACTCCTTCAAAAAGTGAGGAAACAAGAACAGCATTAGGGAAGGGAAAAGACGAAGTCTCATTCAACTTAGCACTTCTTAGCTAATCAACCCAAGAGCAAAACCGTCCATTCACAACCAGAACTGATCTCATTCCAACCACCGTTACTTATTCTGCTCTAATTAGGGAACAATTCTTACGTAGCAGAATAACAATGGAACAATACATTAAAGAAAAGATACTGGGTTTCAGCAAAAAGCAAAAATCTTACTGCCAGAAGACTGGACAATTTAGCATGCTATCACAATTTAAAACTCTTCTAAAGACATGCAAAGCAATAAACCATGCATAACCAAACATAAAAAAATAAAGGCAAACTAAATTAAATAGCAAACTAAGTAAACAATGTAAAAATGAAACTACGCATTCAAAAAAAAAATGGCAAACTGCAAACTGTACATTTTTGAAGTATCCAAAAAGTAATCTCAAATAAATGAAAAACAAGGTAATAAAAAGTGTGAATAATAACATACCGAAAAGAATAAAGAGGCATTGGGGTGTAGCTCTCTTTAGAGAACAGCAGAGCAAGGCAGCGGAGGGACAGGGAAGAGGTAAGGAATCGAAGGGGAGAGCGAGGTTGCACAAATCGTCCACAACGAGGAAGGGCAGAGTCCCCGCAGGAAATGGCGAAATTGGTTGATGGATGATGAAGTTTTCAAGATGGTTAATATTGAAGGGCAGGTTGGTTTCCGAAGAGCAGGGGTTTGGTTTGGTTTGTTTTGGAAGGGGAATGTTTTTATTTTTTTTTTTTTTGTTTCAAGCAACAACAGGAAGCAGAAGTACCGTGCAGTCAGTTGGCAAAGAAATTCCGGATCAGGGGAAGAAAAAAAATTCAGGGATGGGGAGAAAAGAAAAAAGTAGCAAAAAACACAGGTCAGTAAATACATAAGGAAATATGTAGTGTTCCATCAGTCAGACTTCTAGAACTCTATACACAATAACTCGTTTACAGAAACAGTTAATAGGTTTTACCTAGTGGAACACAACGATAAAGAAAAAGCATTTTTACTTCAGATATACAAAGAAGTAAGAGACAGCACCACAACAGAGTGACTGCTACAGGCTTTAACGTTGAATTCAGCTGCCGTAGTATTCCCTCAAATTTGGCCAGAAACTTTTTCTCTGATTACGAGCATTTCTTAGAAAAGTGACTCAGGAGTCAGTCGAAAGCACAGCTCTATTTGCTGCTTTAGGCCCAGTGACTACTGAAGCAATCCACAGTACGTGCTTAGCTGTATCAAAACAAGAAAAGCCCAATTTGGAACCGATCGCTGCCTTCAGAGCAGCAGATTTTCTGGATGCGCAGCTGCAGCGCTTCCTCCTGCGCAGGAGCCTGGTCCCTTGTGTGCAGCAGCAGCCCAGGGCTCGACCTCACCACACGGAGCCCCTGAAATTGCTGTCCCTCAGCACGGCCTCGCTGCCTGAGGACAGCCCTGACCACACGCAGGTGTGTGTTTCTTCCTCTCACCATGGAAAGGAAGCATGGGGCCATTTGCATTTCCACAATTCCCATTCAGAAAAAAGCCTCTTGTCACTGCAGAGCAGTCACTCCAGAGCGATGCTGTCTCTTGACTCACTGGCTGTGGCCCAGGTAAGTTTCTACAACACTGATTACACAGGCAATGGAAAAAGTTTCAGGTCTGTTAGTTCACAGCTTCAGTACAAGTGTCAGAGTCTCTCTAGCCCAAAGATCAGCTGGATGGATAGTGAAGAGCTCCTCAACACACAGGGCATGAAATAACTGCTTGCTCCTGCTCGAACAAGAGCTGAGCGCAGCGTTCAGACACCGCTCAGTGCTGTGCAGACCTGAGTTACAGAGGCACAGCACCGTCCTGGCACTGCCATCCAGGCAACGCGGCACCTCCCCAAAAACACACGCTCGACAGCGTTACGCTGCTCCGGAGCATCGACGGCAGCTCCCAGCAACTAGAACTTGTGTGTGAACAGCAAGTGGCTGGGCCTGAGCCAGAATAAGGGGTCCTGGACAGCAGAAAGAGCAACTGGTCCAAACCACAGCCCCTGCTGTTATTTCATGCCCTGCAGAAAACAGCAATGATAGATCAAAAGAGCAGTCTGAAATACTGATTCAACTGGTTCATCTCATCCAGAGTTCAGTGTTTTGACCATTCATCACATCCAGGCTTCCCCTTTGATGCAAAAGAGGTTTTGGGGTTACTCTGACATGGCTGGTAAGGTTTAGAGCTTTGCACAGGAGTATTAAGGTGTGTGCAGTCCCACCAGTTACAGTGCTTTTCAGCAGATACTCCTCACTGCTGCACACCACAAGATTGTACACTGCCAATCCAGACTAGAGAAAAATCCAAGATACCGTATCAAATTTTCTTATGATACTGTCTTTCATTAAAGACGACTTTTGGTCAAATATTTCTTGCTTTATTTTTAAAGAAACCCAAACATTTCAACTCACTAAGTTAAGTGGAACTGAAAACGTAACCAGTGAGCCGTTAAAGGGTTTAGCTAAGGAGAAACCTCCAGGAATCTTGGAAAGGGAAGATGTGCACGCACATGGCAGAGGAAACGCTGCACAGGGACGAGGTGAAGCTGGCAGGGCTCCAGACACTGCACAGAAAGAGCAGAGGCCAGGACAAGCTCTCTGCGGTTCTGAATTAATGTATGAAAAACCAGAACATGCTTGGGGAAGGAAGAAATGGACGTGACTGCTCTGTGGCCCAACGACGCCATCCCATGGGAATGGTAGGGAGACTCCAAATGAAAGACGGAGCAGGGGACAGGCATTGTAGTCTTTATGGGACATGAGCAGGCAGGCAGCATCCTTGGCTTTGAACCAAAGAAGAGCAAGATTTTAATTTGAGGTGGACTTTCGTTTCCCTTCAGCAACTAGAGTACTGATCTGCTTTCAGCTTTAGGGCTGGCAGAGCTCACCAGCTGTTTTTCTAGCTTTGCCGCTCCCTTCAGGGTACAGTAGGATTTCACTTTCAATGAGTTTGAGCACAATCGTGTTCAGAAAGTGAAGGAGAGGTAACAGGAAGGAGAAACAAGTAAACGAGGACTGCACTAACCTCCGGGTTCAGATTGCTAACCAGCAGAACAGAGTTCCCTGCCCCAGCCAGGCCGGGGATGGCAATCCGTCCTGCGGCAGCCGCAGCAGCCGCTGCTGCTGGAATGGCCAAGGGAGCAAGAGCTCCAGGGACATTTGGAACTGTCAGGCCTGGAAATTAAAGAATATTAACCAGTGAAGACGTTCACAGCACGTACTCTAGTGTATTGGCTGCACCAGAAGGGAGAACAGCGCACCTCCTCTAACATGCAATAACCATTCAAAGACAGCGACTGCATATTCCAAGAGCAACAGGAGCCTCCAGTTCTGGTGCTGCAGGAAATGTTGGAATTTCCAATCGCATTTGCCCTTGCAGTGCCTGGTGCTTAAGGGGTGCCTCAGCACTATCCTGGTGACTACAGCACTGTGCACGTTTCACAAGAAGCGCAGTCAGCACAAAGCCTCGGCTCTGGTGGTGCAGGAAAGGTTTCAGACAGGGCATTCGTCAGGGTCTTTCCAACCGGTGCATGCCAAAAACCGCGCTGTTCTTTAACCATGCACACGAGAACCAGGTACCACAGTGTGCTACCGTCAGCCAGCTCGACTGCTGTGTTCATCGGCATTTTAGGCTGCTCACAATAACAGCTGGCACTTTGCTATCAGCCCTCCAAAGGGAGGAGCCTTAGGGTTCAAGAAATAATTGCTAGTAATCAATTACATGAAATTACTGCTCCAAGTGGCATTGCCCGCTTCACTGCGGAACAGGGTATTAAAAAAACATCAATGGCTGACCAGTTCGAGCTGTGTGTGTTTGTCAGAAGCAAGGAAATTCCATCAAGTTACAGGAAAGTCAACACAGCTTGGTATGCTATGAAAAACACAGCAAAATTGTCTGGTCTAGCACTGCAGTGAGCGTACGCAGTGCCTAAACCCCAAGTTTTAACCTCAGACACTTGGCTACGAGTAGCAAAACATCTGTTACCTGCAATGACAACTGTAACAGTGTCTGTCATTAGGTTCATGTTTAAATAGCAGCTGTATTCAAAGTATTTCAGAAAAAATGGACAAAGACTCCTTGCTTTTGACCACATTTACAGCTGTCAAAGTGAGTTCCCAACCTCTGCAATCGCATGAGGAAATCCAAAATATTAAAAATTTTCTTTCCTCCCCCAATTACTTTAAATAACTGCCTTAACTGTCTCTCCCATGCTGCTACTCCTGTTTTCCTCCTGTCACTGGGCTACTGCCGAGCCAGAGGTGCTGCAGCTGCACAACCCCTGTCCTAGGTGGGATTATGGACTGAAACACCACTCCCTTCTGTCCCTAAATGCCAGCATTAGGAATTTACGAGACTAACCCCAACAAAAATATGGCTACTTAGCTTTCAAACATCAAGATGCTTCAGCAACAGAAAGCCTATGAAAAAAACTTACGAAATGCAGTACCTGCAGCCTGCGGAATTGCAAAGGCAGGAGGAAAGCCAGCTCCCGCATATGGAGAAGCAGGGATGATTCCTGGGGCACCTGGAAAGGACAAACACAGTTGAGAGACACTCAGTGGCAAGACAATGTGAGTCATCATGAGGAAGAGGAAGAGCTGCAGTGTCCTGATCTGCCTTTCCACAGCAGGTTTTGAGATGTTTCTGAGGAGCAGGCTCAGACCCCAGGTCACCACGGGCAGAACAGCAGATGGCACCAGCAGCACAGCAGCTGCAGAGCCCACACAGCCCTCGCCCACATGAGGAGCTCTCACCACAGCAGCACTCCCACACTCTGTAGGTTCCTATGGAGTTCGCACTGGTCTGATTCAGCAGCTCCAAACCTTTCCTCAGTCACACCCTATTACACGATGTACGACCAAACACACCAGGATTGCGTCCCCTCCCCAGCCAACACACTGTGGTGACGTAGGTCCTGCTCCCACTTCAAAAGCGCTCACCAAAAGCAGCTGCCATGGTCTGGTCGAGGGAGGGCTGGTTATCCCCAGAAGGGAGGTCTGGCCGGGTGTAGTCTCTGCTCTTGTCGTTGTTGTACTTCACGTTGAGACTGGTGAGCTTTGAGAAGTCTATGCGCAGCGTGCAGCAGGCATTGTAGATGTTCTGTCCATCCAAAGACTGCAAGGAAACAGACTATTCTTCACCCAAGATCCATTTATACCAAGATGAATAAAGACGTATACATCACCCAGGTGTCTGCTTTATGCAGAGAAAGCACTGCTCCCTTTACCCCTTCGGTGCTCACCCGGGTTGAGCAGCACTGCTCTGCTAGGGACAATCCCTCCCTCTCCACGCATGATCCGCCAAGGGCAGCACTCACTAAACTGTATCTGACCACCAGACACCCCAAAACGCTAACTTCTAACATTGATCCTAGATTAATAAAAGCAAGGTGAAAACTACTCACCAGTTTGGCATGCTGAGCACTCATGGGGTCAGCATACTGCAACAGGGCCTGAAATAGGTTGTTCTTCGTGAATGTAATTATTTTCAGGACTGTACCAAATTTGGAAAATATCTGCAAGATAATATTTGCATACCTTGTTATCTCATTTCCAGTAAGTTCATTTCACGCTGATCTCCATTATTAGAAGCAGAAACAAGAAGAGTCATCCTTTCACCTTGTTAGCTTTCCAATTTAAAAATGTAAGGGTTTAAAACTACACCACGGGCATAGTTTAACTTGCATCACGGCATCGGATTAGAAAATACATCAGAGTGACTGACCTGCCCCTTAATCAAGTTTTTGTTACCAGTTCTCACACAGGAAGATTCACACCTTTCCGATAATTCCAGGGATTCTTAAATGCAGTCACTCTTGCACTTCAGCGTGCAGATTAACTTCAGCAAGTGCAGCAGATGCAGGAACATCCCAAACAGGACATGGCCTGAACGCCCCCTGGACACTGCATTTGCCCCTACCTCACACAAGGAGGCGGACAGCAGCTTCTGCTGAAGCCTGAACACAGCTTGAGAGGTCTCAGAAACATCAGTATTTGTCCCTTGCACAGAACCAGGCTGTAACCCAATTAAAATGGACCAGCAGTCGAATGTCTGGAAATTAAAGTGTGGCCAGATTGGGACCAGAAACAGAAGAACCTCGTGTGGGTGTCAGGGTTTCCAGAAAGCAGAAATCTGACAGCTCTGTTCAGAACTGGAGTTCTGCAGCTAAAACCCACACGCAACTGTTACAACACAGACGCTGCAAATACACCACTGCTGTCGTGCCCTCCTTCCAGAGGATCAAGCAGCCGCGTTGATGCTTTACCTGGTGCAGAACATCGAGCGTGACGGGGTAGAAGAGGTTTTCCACGATGATCCTGAGGACAGGGCTCTGGCCGGCCATCGCCATCCCTGTGTCCACGGCCGCAGCAGGGGCTGGCAGCGCTAGGTTTCCCAACTGCACAGAATTTACAGCTTGCAGAGCTGCCTGGGCGCGCTGCGGAACCAAACACCCATTAGACCCACGCTCCTGCACCCAACACACACCTATGGCTTTCCTTGGGCTTCCCATCTGCAAACTGCTATAAACTTAACAAGTACTGACCAACACACAACAGTTTAACTGTTCCTGCGGCTGGGGATGCAATGACTTCAGCACATTTTAAACACAAGACCACCTCAATTAGTAAGAGGAATGCAAATATACAAGCTAAATAAAATATGAAGTAATTATGCTACTGCTAGAGCCTTGCTCAGCACCTATTGATGCAGCAAGATTAGTGTTTGGAAAAAAAAGGGGAAAACTGGGCTCTCCTGGGGTGAAACATCATCCCCAGGACACTGCAGAAGCTGGCAAGATGAAAGATGAATGCACATTGGCTACAGGGATCCTGAGGAGAAACTGACTCTGAGGTTTCCTTTTAGGGTCCTCCTCATGCATACAACTTTATTTTGGGCTCACTGTTGTGCATCCGATTCTGGCTTCATTTGATGCACCGAACAGCAGTGTTTCATCAGCACTGCATTAGATGCTCTGATCCTGATGGAAGTCAGCCTGAAAAGTGAGAGGCACTGGATGGCCTGGGCAGCCCGCCCTGGTACAGAGGCATGAGGAACTTGAACTTCTCTCCAGTGCTCCTGTCCTGAAAGATTGCCAAGAGCAGCTCAGCCAAAAAAGGGCACTTCTTACTCTGTGTGGAGTGCATCTCACACAGGATCTCTGGAGAGCCCAGAGCCTTACGGGTGGCTGCGTTCAGGTGCTGCCTGCTCACAGCAGCACTCACCAGCAGCACTGGGCTCTGCTGCAGACAGGTCTGCCCTGTCACAGCTTCAGATTTGAGAAGCTGAACATCTCAAAACACTAAAACTTAACTGCTTTTAGACAGGTCTTCAGTTACTGTTTCTAACTAAAGAATGCTAAAGCACCACTTTTCTCCTGAATTCACCATGCAATTCCTTCCCGACACTCAGGAGTTACAGTAGCTCATCAGGAGTCTGTGAGACTCTGAATAAAGCCGTTACAGGAGACCTCACTCCAAAAGCGAGGATGCTCTGCTTGGCACTCTGATGGTCAAACCAAATCTCCAAACCCTCCCAGGCCTGGCCCAGCAGCACAAACCCACACAGAACCACCTGTCCCGCCCAGCAGCACAGCCACATGAAGAACCAACACTAACTGCTTGGTTTGGAGTGTTGTCTGTCTTCAGCTCCTTGTGGTTGGAGAACTGGATGTAAATGGGCTGGCTCCGCAGGACTGGAGTGACAGTGGTGTAGTAGTTCACCATGGTGTTGGCCGCCTCCTCTGTGTTCATTTCTATGAAAGCCTGCACAGAAGACAAATCCAACACCGAGACATTACCAAAGCACTCACAGCAGGAGACAGCACTCATACTCGACAACAGCAACCGATCATTTCAGGAGGAACTCAGCTGAATTTACCTGCTGGATCTCCACAGCCGCATTTACATGCTAATTCTGTACACACAACTGTTTAAGAACCAACCTTTTGCAGAACAAATCAGGATCTTTACTGTCCAGACTAGTTTAATGCAATGTCTCAGTCTCATCACGAGATCCCCATGCTACGTACATTTACGAAACCAGCAATGACAGAAGTGTGTGCACAGCCACAAAGCACAGCAGCAATCCAGACTCTTCACACTTATCGTATTAAGCAGCTTTCCATACTTCTCTACCAGGCAGTAACCCCACTTGCTGCTCCATACTTTTATGGGGTCCCCTACTTCAAAACAGGAGCGCGAGGGATTGCAGCAAGTCATTAAGTACTTACGTATAATTACACCATGCAATATATCAGAGGCACATTTTAATAATTAAGATTAAAGATATAGTATTTTAAGCGATGATTAAAGTTGGCTTGCTTTTTTACTCCTTAATTCGCAAGACAATTTAGTCACCAAATTAACACACACCTTCTGCATTACCCAAGAGCATTTTTAGCTTCACCCAGCTAATTCACTGTATCTGCAAGGTGTCCTGAATACGCAAAGTTACGCTGGTGGTTATTACTCAACTGTCAAGCCAGTCCGAGTGAAAAAGGCCAACTCATGCCGCTGTGTCCAAATCATTTACCTGGTCTGTAATTTAAAAATCAAGCATAATGTTGATTATAAGTGACAACCTGTAATTACAGACTTAACTCCTTGTACAGCCTGAAAATAGTATTTTTTTTCCAACAGCTCATGGGATAATCACGGGAAAGTAACATAATAGTACGCAGGAGTTATTGACTCCTAATCCTGACAGTTGATCAAACAGCTCGGATCTGGTTCCTGATGACAAACTCATCAAGCCTTTGCTGAATGCCTGCTTTCAATGATGGAGACAGTACCTGGTTTTTGCCTTTCAGCATGAGCAGGTTGGTGACCTTGCCGAAAGGCAGGCCCAAGGAAATGACCTCTGCCTCCGTGACGTCACTGGGGAGCTTGCGGACATGGATCACTCGGGATGGGACCCCAGCAGTTCTGCTATCGCCTTTGAATTTCTTGCTGTCATTTCCATTAGCTGCAAAAATCAAGAGTGACCGCATTGGAGTGGGTCTGAGAGAACACGCGCACACAGCTTCTGACACAGTCTGTGCTCCCCATCAAAGACACTGCCCTTGATTACAGAGAAATCCCGAGGTCTGATTTAACCAGAGTCTGCAGACACAGGGGTTTACTCCTTTTTCCAAATTACACGCTGCAAGTGACGTGGCTGAATGCCGCTGCAATGGAATCAGCTCTCCAGGGGCCGCTTTACAGCTTGGTTACAGCGCACACCCACCCCATTTCTACTCGGTGTGGGTTTGAGCCACTAATTCCAGATCGCTACTTCAGTCCTTTTTACTCTGGTATTCTTGGCAGTGAAACAGTTTGAAGGGGACATCTTAAAGCAAGCGCCACTGAACCAAGCATAAACCAGACTGTAATTTGTAATTCAGACCAGCTGCACTGCGCGTGTGGCAAGGGGCTGCCACGGGCAGAGCACGAAGGGACGCAGGGGACAACTCAAGGCACTGACAAGCACAGGGGACACCCACGGAAGATGTCCTGGGTGGGAGATTACCCCTGTATGGCACCCAAACAGCACCACGCTCCTACACAGCCAGAACAACCCCATGTGAAATCCCACTGTGCTTTAACAGTTTACAGCAAACCCTGCATTTTCTAGTTCTGTAAAATCACTTCAGCAACTGTCCCATTCAGTCCACCAGCCTCTGAAGGGTATAGGGTGGAAGTTTATTATTCTTCAGCACTGTCCTACAAAAGGCCTAATAAGTTCTAAAAATGAAGAGATCTTAAAATTAAAACTAAGTGGGGAAAAACCAGACCTCCTCGTAGTATTTGCAATACTTACAAACTGCTATTCTTTGTATAGGCAATATTACCTGCAGAAGAGGAGTTGCTGTTCATGATAAAGGGTCCGTTAGTAACACAAGTGGAGAAAAGCTCGTCAGTTCCCCGCTGGAAGAGAAAAGAGGAAAGGTGAACTGAGAGCATTTCACTGAGCTCTATTCAGGTCCTCCCAGAGCAAACAATAGACTAAAGTTGCAGAAGCTGAACACAAGTGTAAGGGAAAACACAGTGACAGTGGGCAGCAAACCTCACCTCCATCCATTAAACATGAGTGAGATCCAGTCTGGTAACCTAGAAGCACTATCCAGTATCTCTTTTCAGCAAGGCATTGGGAATCTTAGGAGCTGAAGCATTGCCAAATTGGCTGAAAACACGAAAGGCAGTGCTGTGCATCAATAGCCACATTCCCCTGCTGCAGCTAACAAAACTGACTACTCGTACCAGACAGCATTTCACTATTGAGGTTAAGCTGGAGCAATACTGTAGTGATCAAAGCAGCAGAACAGCCCTGCTGGCATTCGGCAAGACAACATTAGTGTACGGTGGGTTACCAGCACTAAGGAAGCAATCAGAAGCTGCCCAAACCCGTTAGCAAATGACCTGGCAGTTATCAACCAAAAATGTGCATTTTCCAGTCACAGGCAGAAGATGCAACTTTGAGAAACTGGGACCTGAAGGAAACGGATCCTTCCCCTCCCTGGCCCAAAACAGGGACGGTGAAGCAAGTCCAGCACCAGCAAAAAACGACTTTCCTCATTTTACAGCAGAAAAAGGTCCACATAGAGCATCCCATCCTGCATCACCTCTCACAGGTACAGAGCTGTGCAATCCCATCCTCCATCAACTCTCACCACGAGTTGTTCTGCATTTAACTCGGCATGGCTGCATGCAAACCAAAGAGCAAGGAGCTGCACAGCGTCCCCCAACACCTCCACCTTGATTTCTCTTACTGCAGCAACTGCACATTTCACTCTATGGAGGAAGAAAACATCTGGCGAGCAATTCTAAACCAAACAGAATTAGACTGCCTAACCATAACCAGGCTGGTACTGCAGGGACAGAGAAATGCATTTATCCTAGGCTTTTCAGTAGCTACAGGTGTAACTCCATCTACACACACAGTTCCTGGACTGCAGGAGCCTGCCACTTCCCTGCAAATAAGGCTGAAGAGACGGATGGACAGATGACTGCACACAGTGCTGTGTCAATCCACTGCAGCACTCCCTGTAAGTCACCCACACCACCTCAGCAGACCAGGGGCAGGAGGTAGGTGTGAAAACACTACCCAGACAAAAAGCAAACAAGACTACACAATACATCTTAGCACGATCTATACCTGTATCCATAATACAGCTTCAAATCACTATGGCTCGATTTCAAATAATGAACATAGAAGACATCAGATCACACTGTAAGCTGTGACCAAACACAGTAACATAAATCTAACATACAAAAGCACTCTCTCAATTTTCTGCATGGCTCTCACACCCCATGAAAAGGCTCTCATCAACAGAAAAGCAACAAGCGCATCTCTGCCGCAGCCGACTCCCCTCTGGATGGAAACGCTCCCTGCACCCATCACAGCCAGAAACCCTACCCCGCGCCATGCCCCAGATCTGGTGGCACCTGCAGAAACCGCATCTGTGCGACAACAGGAGCTGTGCTGCGTCCCCAGCAAACAGCTTGGGAAAGTAGGTCACAGCCCCACAGCACCAGACACAGCTCTGCCCTCCTCCTTCCCCCCAGATCTCGAATTTCTTGTCTGACCACTCACTGCTGGCTCTTCAAAGGCAGCTCCAAGACTTTGATGTCCCAATGGCAAAGCTCAGGCCAGGTTCATGTCCCGCTGCTGGCACCTGCAAGCACTGACCTGGGCCCACAGAGGCTGCAGCACCCAGCGAGGTCTCCTCCTGACAGGGTGCAGTCACTAGGAAGAGGCCTTTTAACAGCTGTTCTAATTAGCACTCGTGTGCCCAGTACAGCAAGAGGCAGGCTGCTCTAGGAGGTTATTACTGTGATCCAGCCTTGCTGACTCAAATTAATGCTCAATTCCAAAGCTACGATAAATCCACCATTTACTGTAAAAACTTACAGCAGCGCAGGACAGGACAGGCAGGGCTTTGCTGGGACACCGCAGCCCTGCCAACACGGACGAGGGTCTGCTGGCCTCACCAACCAGTGCACCAGGCCCTAAGGGGCCTCCTCCAACTCTTAAACGTGTTTTAACCACCAATGTGTTCATTTCTGAACACAACTCCAGTGCTCCCAGTACAAACCGATGCCTCTGTGCCAGCGCACTGGGGCAGCCTTTGCAATCTCTCGTGGAAACGCCAGCACAAGCCACAGATTTGGCTCTCGTGGAGGCAACACTAGGAAACTATAAACTGGAAAAGCATACATTTATACTACCACGGAAAGAATTTAAATTTCCTAAATTTAACTTTCCTGATGGCTTGTTTAAAATAAACATTTTCTTGCATATTTGAGAATTTACTTGAGGGCACCCTGACAAGGAATGCTCATCGCTGCTGGTCTCCACATGCCGATGTTTCTTTAATGGAAGCTCCATTTCACATCTAATCCCCTCTTATCTTGAAGGCTTCAGGCTGCAACCAGGGCCAGGAGGTGGCAGAAGTGGACGACTGTCCACAGCAGAAGCAGCAGCAGCAATTTGTACACTTCCCAGCTGGGCGCAAGCACCACCCCAGGGAGGCACAGCCCAGGCACCCAGCGCTGCCTCCTGCACCAGGGCCTGCACCCACACCTGCTCCAGCAGCAGCTGCTCTGCCCTCGGGCCACGCTTGCCCTGCCTCTGCCCCCGGGTGCTAGAGCCGGATCAATGACCACAAGAAATCTCTTACAGCTGCTTTTGGAATGCCCAAATCAGAGGCAAAGGGAACCCAGGCACTCCATTAACCTGCACACAGCACTGGGAACTCCAGCAGGAGCCAATGTCCGTTCTGTCTTTACACTCGCACCGATTGCCATCATCTCTTTCCAGACTCTTAATTTTTCTTTCTGTATGTGTCAGAAGCTGCAAATAAGCTTAAAACCACGTTATAAATTCCAGTGCCCCATATCAAGTATCCTGATTCAGTGGAGCCAGAGGAACCAAAGCCAGCCTGGTTGTTTTAAAAGATTTAGAAGAGTCTCTCACCAACAACGCATCCATTGGGGTATTTTGAATTACACTGGAAAAGCCAGTACAAAAGCTATTGAATCTGAAGTATAACATTGTTTTATTGAAGTCTAGAATTATGCAAAGCCCAGGGCAGGGGACGAGGTGAGCAATCAGCTGTGTGGCTGCTCACCACATGACTTTTCTACCTTTTTTGATTCTCCATCCAGGACAGGAGCTGCACAGTGCAGACACAGCCCTTCAGCCCACATCCCTGCTCACAGGAGCCATTCATTTATGGTGACATTCCAGTTCAGTTCATTCTTTTGCAGATGATAGTTTGATGGCCAGATTAACAGAAGCAACAGTGTGCAACACTGCCCTACCAAAAATTCTCCATTTAAGCCAACAAATATCCTTTTCCTGGTCACAGGAACCAGCACCGCTTCTGAAGTCACACTGCCAGAGCCTACCTGGAGCAGTGCAGGGTGGTTCCTGCCAGCCAGCACACAAGGGAGAATTCCAGTATTCCCTCTTTTTCCAAGTTAACTTTTTGACCACCCTTCAAACTTCTTAAGCCTTTTTTTTTTGCTTTAAAGTTTTACCAAATAAGTTCGAAGAATTTCGAGTTAGCCTAGGCCTTCACAGCTCAAAAAGCCACTGCTAATTCATAGGAAAACTCCAAATTGTCTCACTGCCACTAGGATTTTACCTGACCTTCACCACAGTTTGGGATGAAGCCAGTGGCTCTCTTAGCTCCCACCAGCACAGAAATTCACACAAATACCACAGAAATCCTCAGCTCCCTATTTAATCCTTTATCGACTCAAGATCCAGTCACTTCTTTTAAATGGATTACAGTCAATCAACCGCACTCTGCCTGAGCAAAAGGCTAGAAACAAACTAGATTACCATAAAAACCAGGAATTTTGAGACAAATTGGTGATACAGCGTGGTGATAATCAACACCCAGAGTGCAGCAGTGTCCCAGGCAGAGCAAAACCAGAGCAGTGGCAAGGCTGGGCCGTGGGATGGAGCAGGACATGCCCAGGGTCCTCCCCAGCCCATCCTCTGCCTACGGACACTGCTCCAGCAGCTCCACACAGACGAGGACAGCCCCACACTGCCCCACCCTTCTTGGGAGGGGAAAGAAGGATTTTGGAGGTGCACAGGCCATCGGCCAACACATATACAAAAAGCAAGGCAGGTAACACAGCTGCACCTGGACACCCCCTCTAACAGCAAGCCAAGAAAAAATGTGTGCTGTCAGAGATCCTTGTCTGCTTTTCTTCAGTTCAGAGTAAAATACCTCCCTCAGAAGTGCTGCAACTGCCTGGCCAGAAGATGCGGGGCATCGCACTTCTACTCTTTAAAAAATACTCCGGACGCGGTAAAAGACCACGTAATATTGCACACACAGATCATTGGGCAGCTCACACAAACCCTGTGGTGTGCAGTGTGCTCCAAGGGCTCTGCACAGCCCAGTCGGGAAGGAGGAATGCACTCGATAGGGCAGCTCACAGCTCCAGTGCTCTGCGATGAAACTCAGCAACCCAGCCCGATGGCACCAGCACTCGCACTCCTCACACCCAACATTTCTGAGACTCAGGAGCTGGGATCAAAGCTGTATTCAAACTACAACAAGAGGGATGCCAGCTCTCCGTGTCCCACAGAAGCCCCCTTTCAGCAACGCTCCCCACATCACCCCGTACACCCTCTTCCCCTCCTGCCCCTCACTGACACACAACGCAGCAGTGACGATACAAGTTATGCTCAACACGCAGTAAGTGAGGATCCGCAGCTCCAGGCGGCTGTAAGCACCGTGCGACACATGGATACAGCAGAGCAGTGCTGGGGGCTGCAGCCCATCTGCCTGGCTCAGGACACCCACGTTTCAAACCACGCTCTGCTTGTGGGGTCCAAGAGCTGTCAGCCCCTACGCGAGGCTCCGGAGATGATCACAGCCCAACAGGGTTTAGTCGAGCACCTT